AAGTAGTCCTGGAAAAAATATGTTCTCTTTGTATGTGCCATGTCTATACTGGTCCATATGCTTCCAGGAAATTTGGTTGACATCAAAGCGTTTGGTGGGTATTAACTGAGGGACATGTTTTGCCTTGGGGCTTATACTGTGTGCACTCACTGCTAAGAAAGTCGGTGCTTCAAGTCTGTATCCTTGACTTCAACTGGCATGTTAGTGAGTCAGATGCAGTATTGTAGCTTACAGTTGCTAAATATAATACTTGAAATACAGTGTGCTTCGAGATGGTATTTACTAAAGCAGCATGTTGCTCAGTCCAGTCAAATTGCTGTTACTATCTTATCCATAGTTGCCTACATTATCAGAAGCTGAGTGACATAATGAAGCCTTGTATGGTCTCACAGTGTCACTCAGTAACTCAGTCCAGATGTCTCTACAGTATGGCTAATTCTTGCTCTGGTGACTTGAACTTGGGTGTTGCAGATTTGACTAGGGCAGCCATGTTATATTACTCACATTGCACGCCCTATTTGGACATTCTTTCCAGTTTGACATCTTTTCTTGCCCTACCGATAACTTATTACAGAAGATAAACCAAGATATCAGGTTATTGTTTATGTCGTGATACCACCCTGTCTCCTATTAATGACATTTAGACACAGCTAATTTGCAAAAGCAAAAGCAGTTGTAGGAAATATAATACAGCCCAGTGGTTGCAATGTGCACAGCAATATAAAATCTGAATAAAACCAAAACTACAAGTAATAAAAACAGAAGACAAAAATGTACGCACATACTGTACATATATACAAGTTCAGAAAGAGCTACTCAATGTTTTTGATGTTTAACCAAAATCCTAGTCTTTCCTGCACTGTGTGTCAACCCCTGTCACTCCCACACTCAGTCCTCCCTCTAGGTTGATATTACCTGCTGTTTCTCACCGCTTCTTGGCATGTATCACTCCAGAGTCCTTGTTCTTCACCGTCCCTCCTCTGCTGCATATGAACACGTGCCTCCTCTCATTTCTGCTGCCAGCTATCATTCCCTACTGTGCATGCTTTGTTGAACATGATCATGCAGCCGCTTCATCAGTGTGGGCAGTACACTGTATCAGTGGGGAAATGAACCGGCCACTGTGCAGCTTATTCTGGCTCAGCACTCAGGTGTTGTCAGTGTTCATTTGAGGAGTACAGTAAAGCAGGATAGCTGAGCTGTAGAGAGGGGATTTACACCAAAATAAGCCTCTTTGCATCTGTATGCAAATCACTGTGTATGTTAATCTTTGTACTTTGCCCACATTATGCCTATGTATTTTTAGATGAGGTGACACTGCAATGGATTCTCTAATGCATCAAAATGTAAACTTACCACATTTCTGCAACACAACAGTTTAAAGGTGTTGTTAAGAATGATATTAGTCACTGATTGCTTAAAGATTAAATTGAACACTAGTTTGTGCAGGTGTATTATTTATTCCATCCTGCTGGTACAATAAATTTCAAGTCAAGTCAAGAATCTTTATTGTCATTATGCATAGGACAACGAAATTTTTTCTGGCAGCTCTCGGCTTAAAAGACAGATATATTATTTACATAACACACAATTGTATGTCAATATAAAAATCTGAACAAATAAAAAGGAATGTATGGGACCTAATCAGGTCAGCAGCATGTTAGCAGCAAGAGAGTGTAGTAACATTATAAGGTGTAGCTCAGTGCAAATCTCAGTCTTTAGGAGGAGGTGTGAGGTCCAGTGTTCTGTGTCTGTCCATAGGGGGGAGGTTGTGTGTGTGACTAGGGGTTAGGGGGGTGATTGATTTCACAGCTCTGGGGAAGAAGCTGTTTCTCAGTCTGTTTGTTTGAGTCTTTATGTATCTGTACCTTTTCCTGGAGGGAAGAGGCACAAACAGACTGTTGCCTGGGTGGGTGGGGTCTTCAGAAATCCGACTGGCCCTCCTCTGGATCTGGTCAGCGTAGAGTGAGTCCAGATCCAGAGCAGGACTCCCTACAGTACCCTGAGCTGTTCTCCCCACCCGGGTCAAGTCCTTTCTGTCCTGTACAGTGCAGCTCCCGTACCACACTGTCACACTGAGACAGAGGATGCTCTCTACTGTCGCTCTGTAGAAGTTTGCGAGCAGCTGAGAAGAGAGACCAGCACGTTTCAGCTTCCTGAAGAAGAAGAGCCTTTGCTGGGCTTTCTTCACCAGGTAGGACGTGTTCAGAGACCAGGTCAGGTCAGATGTGATGTGGATGCCCAGGAACTTGATGTTATCCACTTGCTCCACCACCTCCCCGTGTAGGAGAAGAGGAGCATATTTTGTCTTCCTGGACCTCCTATCCACAATGACCTCCTTAGTCTTGTTGGTGTTCAGGACAAGGTTGTTATCTGAACACCACCTTGTCAGGTGCTGGATCTCCTCTCTGTATTGAGTCTCATCATTGTCTGAGATGAGACCCACTACAGTGGTGTCGTCTGCAAACTCCACTACTGTGTGGGGTGAATGACATCACAGTCATGGGTAAACAGAGTAAAGAGAACTGGGCTGAGCACACAGCCCTGTGGTGTGCCTGCATTCAGGACCAGTGTGGATGATGTGCAGCTTCCGATTCTCACCACTTGAGGCCTGTTAGTGAGGAAGTCCTTGAAGTTCTAGTTAATGCAATACTTCTGCACTGTAGTCCTGATCTCTCAGTTCCATCTGGCCACACTGTGTAACCAGGCAAGTTCTCTACTTGACAAGGGTTTTTGCATATAGTTTTCTACAAGAGGCATCTGCTACCACCCTGAATGGTGCTGTTTCATTTGGGTAAGAGCAATACACCAAACCAGCTTATTCCTGCTTTTCCATGTGTCCCCTCTTCCACCACTCGGCAGTAGATTAGAAAATTGGGTAATTTTTGGAGACATTCCTTAAATGGTAAATTTGTTGTTTGTGTGCTATTCTTGTAACCTAATAATCAAAGATAACCTTATTTAAAAGAACCCTTTAGTGTGCATGCAGGCCCCTATGGAGAATTTCTTAGAAATAAAGTGCACAATTTCACTGAAGCATCTCTAATAATTGAGTTTGTGTGTGTAAAGAAAACAAAACCCCTGACCTGATTCTTACCATTCAGGAAGTAACCTATTAACAGGATTGTCACACAAGGTGGAAAATCAACCTGTGTGCATCTGAAGTAACCTTCATCAAAGAGAGACTGTAAAGGCAGCTTGCAACACATGGCCTTGATAAGAAACAGCATGCTTGATTCAGAATGTGTGGGTGAACACGAGCAAAGCTGAGCCACTGCCGCTCCCCCGTTGACCTTCACAGGAGCAAAAGTAGCATCACTGCTGCTTCCTAGAAGGTCACTGGTATATTCGGCTTTGTGTTTCCAGAGGTATTTGTAGATGACTCGCGTGAGTATTCCTGTAGAGTCTGCACTGTTTTTGTGCTGGTGTTTGTGTGACCCTGGGTGATACAGTAAATGTAGGCTTAAAAAACTTCAGTCAGAACTGATGAAGCCTCTTGGATGAGAGGTAAAATGTCTTCGACCTAGAAATCTAGTCCAGTTTATTTTTTCTAAGCTTTTTCAGCTTACTATGACCTGGATGATTGAGAATCTGCACAGACATATAGTAAATGTAATTTCAGGAAATTGGACATCTTATTTTGAAATTCAGCTGCTCACTCGATCAGTGTTTATCAAAAATGTACAATGTATTGTGGACCAAACCTCCTAATTGATGTCAAAGTGACTGATGAGGTCTGTCAGACAGGAAGATGAATCAGTCTAAGGTCTTAATAAATATTCAGACCTTAATATATTAAGATTTTGTGCTTAGATAAATTAATTTCTAACTAATTTTTGTTTTTGAACATAGTGCTAATATTTCTTGATCCATATTATAGTTGCAATAATTAAAGGTTAGAGGTGTGTCTGTTCTCTATGGGGTGTTCTTTTGCTGCACCAGAGGCCATGTGACCTGCTGTAGCCTCCTCATGTGGATGTGAGGAGGGAAAAATAGGATTTAGAGATAAGAAACTTAGAAATAGATGTTCATGTGCAATGCCCATGATTTTACAGACAAAATGAAAGAAGATAAATACAACCAAAAACAATGACTGATGATCTTCTGAGAACACTTGGGATTTTTAAGTCCCCTCTTTTGTAATAACATTAGGACACACGCATTCCATATCCTGCTAAATAAAGGTATGAAAAAGAGGGCACTTAGGAACCGATAGCACTGTTGTGTAGTCTCACCATTTGATAAAACGTCGCCTCGAGCAGTGATAAAGTCCCTTCCAATCACTTGTAGTTTGTTCGTTGCAACTTCACACGTGTGTTTGACCTTCATCGTGCAGGATGATGAATGTCCAGCGTAGAAGGCTATTTTCACATTCATCTCCTGAAGGGGGAAAGTTTCTCTGTGCTCACATTAAATATGAGTTTGTGGTTTTGTGACTCACAAATATTTTAGAAGTAAACTGTGGTGCAATATGTAACTTACACAAGTGTGATGGTGCACTTATACTGACAATGGGCTGTTCAGTGGTTTACCCTCCTGCAGATTTTTAAATGGGAAAAAACGTTTTTTGGGAAAAACTGACATTATTATTATTTACAGCAGATGTCTTAAAATGTGTTTGTAGGGAGATCTTTAAAGGTGGTTTCCAATAAACTGTTTGAGCTTCTTCTTACTGATGTACATATCTTAAAACAATTAAATTTGATTTTTCAGAATCAAAAACATTGCAAAGAGATTCAAAATGAATACCAAAAAAACAAACAAAAAAAAAAAAAAACACACACACACAAACAGGGCTCAAATTAATTCAGAAGTATATGTCTAAAGCAGACGAGGATTATTTTCATGATTTTCAAACGTCTGTGTTATGATGCGTCCATTTGCACCCCTGGTTCCATGCAAAGAAGCGTGTGGGTTGTTTTGCTTGTAGACTGAGACCTGTAACTGCACTGAGCTAAGCTCGGATCAGCCTCATGCTTCCACAGCGTTTTAAACCGAGCGAAACCAAACTCTCTCTCTCTATAGCTCTACAGGAACTATGAGCTTCTTCAAGATCTGAGGGAGGGAGGGGTGCGCTGGACTCGGACCTTGCGATAGTCTTGTGAAAGCCCTCCTTCTTCTTTTCCCTGCTCCTTCTCTTCTTTCCACCACTTCAGGGAGGGCAGGCGATGTGAGAGCATCCCCCTCCGAGCCACTGGTTACCGGCCGGACCCTCCACACAGTGGCAGCAGGGCTACTGCGGCGCAGCGCACCGGAGCGGAGCTGGAGGAGAGAAACGACCAGGGGAAGGAGGAGGAAGGACGGACTGCATCCCCCGACAGGCGGGATTAAACTCTGCCGCATCCCGTCGCTTCAACATGTCTCTGGGGAGTAAAAGGCTCGCTGGGATTACTGCGCTGATCGGCTCTTTGCTCCTTGGCTCCTGTGGGACAGGTGGAGAAGGTGAGAGGCTCCGTGCGCTTCATGGGGATGAGAGAGGGCTGCTGAGTTTGTTGTGTGGTTGAATGGACCCTCGTGGTTTATTATTGCACTTAAACCTCACTCAACTTGAAGCGTATGGACCAACAATGGGGGCACGCTGTGTGTGTGGCTATTTGGTGGCGGTTGCTGAGACTTTTAACTCGTTTTCATATCTGGATTAAATTCAAAAATATCTGTAATGTTTGAATATCTCTTTCCATTCATCAACAAACTCCGAACTCAGTTGCAGCTAAGGAACATTTTTGTTATCGGTAGATGTTGGGGGGAAATCAAATTGCAGTTTTCCTTCAAGTGTTTGTTTAGTCCGAAATATATTCAGTTTGCAATTATATAAAACGGAGAAAAGCAGCAGTTTTTCACACTGGAAAAGGGCCGCTTTTGTAATTTAGCTTCGAAATAATTAATGCGACGGTGCTTCCCCAATTTTACTGTGTTTTTTTTTTTTATTTCACACTGATTCGACCACCAAGGGGACTTCTTGTTCAAAGCCACATCCTCTGGGGATTTACAGCTGTCAGTTTTTAGGACATATCCCAAGTTGCGCTCCTGTTGTATCTTTTCAAGCATTTGATGTGGGAGAACCTATTGTCTGTAAACTGCACTTTTTGGTTCCACTTTATTCAGTAAATGTTTTAAAAAAGATCTTAAGTGGGTGATTTTGAATGAAATCACCAAATAATTTGCTTATCTAATAGCTGCATAAGAGATTGTTCAACGGAAATGAGAATTTACTCTGCAACAGGTGTGATAGACATACTCTTGTTGCCTCCTAATGTGCACATAAGCAGTTATTTTCCTCTTGGGATATTTAATGAATCGTTCCAGTAGCTGCACAATTGATGTAGTGGCTCAGAATAATCAGAGGACCTTCCCTTCTCAGTGTAATTACTGAACTCCCTTGGGCTGATGCTGTAAATAAGAGCGGCCTTTTACATGATGTCTCTCTTGGCAGATAAACAAAACTAAATATCAGTAAAAAGCCTGATGGATTAGAGGTTTGACACGCATTGTTAATCGGCATGTAGAGATTCAAGATGTAAAATTAGGATTGAATGGGAGGATGGATGCTGCTGCTACATGTGGAGGCTAGAGATAAAGGCTGGATGCATTCATAAGCCTCTTTCTCAGCTCTATTGATTGTTTGGAAAGACAGCAGTCCTAAGAACAGGATTGTATCGATTGTATGGACTATAATTGATTCTTTTTCAGATGAAATGAGTGTGTTGTCTGTTGGCTCAAACAGCAATTTCTGTGCTGGGTGCATGGAGTGAAAGAGGCAAAACTTGCAATTTTACTGTATCACCTGCTTTGTAAATCCTGCATCACACTGTATATCAGCCAAGGCTTCCACTTAATGACCTGTCTTCTGTCCACATTATGCTTCCTAAGCAATGAGATGTGTTCAGCTCAGTAAAGCGCTGTCATATCATTCTTTGTTTTGTACAGTGAGGACAGGAGGTTTCTGTCATTGTCACTCTTTCTCTCACTGTCATGCACATTTTCACATGGTTCATAGTTAAACACTTCCGGAGCCAGATGTTGTGTGACAAAGGTTTTTTTCTGAAACTTTTGGAATCCAACATTCACACCCTCTTTGTGCAGTGACGGGCCAGGTGTGCAGAGGTGAGAAAGCAAGCAGAGTTTGAAATTATTTCTCAGCTGACAAAGGAAAGGCAGTCTGAAATGGGCGATGTTAGTGTCATAATGAAATTGTTTTTCACCACACCTCTGTGACGCTTTTGATTTCTGACTGGAGACTGTCAGGCTAGTTCTTTTCTAACATAACCGGGCCTATATACATGACGAGCCTTGCTGAGATGGCCCTAACTGTGGCTCACCACCGACCCTAACTTCTCTAACTTGAATTTGAGCCTTAAAGCTGCATTAACTAGGATTTAGCACAAATTTGGATAACTCAAGTAAAACATTCTCTATAAGTGTCTCCCTGATGTTGACCACCCCATCCCATCCCATCCGACTCTGCTATCTTCAGGCCTTGTGTTTGTTTATTTCCCTCTATGGCCACTGTTGTTAAAATGCACAATAACTTCTTCCACACCTCGCTGATCCAAGGTTATAAGATGCATTTTTCAAACCAGTATGGCTCATTTCAAAGACAGACTGTGGAGGCTTTATGTTTAGGTCCATCCCAGGATGGGAGCAGAACTGTTAGACCCAAGAGGCCGCATTCTGTAGCACAGAAAAGGTGCGACAAAGAGCGAGACAAAACCAGGGTCAATTTGACATGTTGGAGATGAAGAGCATTAAATGCATCAAAGCACTAAAATTTAATGCAGATGTGGCTTTCTTCCTGCTAGACATGTAAGTAGTGTAGCCAGCTAACGTGTAAATGTCGGCATCATTAGCAAGCTAATGTTAGCGTTTCAATTTTGTACCTTTTATATTGAATTATTTTGGTTTTAATTTGGAGTCATTCCAACTGACTGTAACGTTAGTTTTTTGTTGTCCAATTAGGGAAAACTACACATTTTCCTGGATTAGCAAATGCAGTAATTTTGTTCATTTTTGCTTGGTTGTATCAATATTACTGGGAAAAAATTTCTGTGTATAATTTGCTTGTGTTACTGCAGATACATTCACTACAAACAACATTAATCATATGTATGCAAATCGCTCAAATGTAAGCCTCTTTATTTGACATTGTGTTGCTGCAATGACACCGAAAACCGTGGGCTCTATGGGCTCTATATTCTGTTTACATTAGTTGTGGAGCCGGTTATTACTGCTGCACTACCTGACTGCTACAAGTACAATTGGCTGCTGTGACCACATATGACCTGGTTTCAGAGACAGGACAGGAGGGGCAAAGGGAGAAGAGGAGGAGATACTGCTTGAGTTTGTTTTGATTTTCACTTTGCCCTTAATGGTCAAAAAAGGAAGAGGTTAGTTAGTGCAGCTTTAAAGTTCTTCACCATTTTAAAGTTTATCACACTTTTAAATAGCTGTTAGTTGATATCACCATAGTAATGCTTCAGAAGGTTAACACTTAAACAGCCCTTTGAAGTCATAACGCCACCCAGAACGCCTACACATGTATAAGAAGAAAAGTACACACACACACACACACACACACAAATTCATCTGTACCTTAGGGTATATCAGGTGCTTGTGGTCAGAGACAGCACAGCTTCTAGTGTTGATGTGCATGCTTTGTATGCCCAGCCATCCACAGTGACCTAGTACCATGTGTCCTAGTACTGCTGCTGCCTTTACTAGTGAGAAAGAAGAGTAATTATTTGCATGCTTGCAACAGGTCACATTTATTTCATTATTCATTATAAGCTTTGGAGCATTGGCCATTGCTTTTTTTTTTTTAAAGAGGATTCTCAACACAACATCCGTGTCATATTACCACATTCTTTATCATCACCATTACTTTTATAAACAATGTGTCTGGTAAGCAGTAGGTGCGTTTAACACCACAAAGTTCCTGGTACTTCTCATTCCCAGGAATTAAAGTCCCATAAGTTTCCCTTGGGTAAAAGTCCATCGAGCTCAATGTGAGTTAGATTTCCACATCTGGGCTAAAGCTTAACCCGCTAATAAGTGTGACGATCAGCAGCAAAGTGTTAAGAATGCCTCAGGTAAAATGATGTGCGCTGTTTGGGACGTCAGTGATATTCAGCACTGAAGCTCTTGTGCTGATAATTCTTTAACCTTACCCCCCACCCCAACTAAAGACTGTTTTTGGGGGGGTAGAACTACAGCCCAGAACTACGTTAGGACCCGTTTCTCAGGTGGAAATGCAGGTAGAGGAACCACTTTCTTCAAAAGGTTGCTGTTCTCTGGGGTAAGTCCTTTGGTGGAAACAGGGCTTTATACGCTACCTTCCCACATCCACTCGCCTCCTCTGTTTTGTCTCATTACCTTCTGCAGCACTTTACCACAAGCAGTGCACAGATACATTTATCATGCATTTTTCTAAAATGTTACAGAAAACAATTTAGTCTTCAGTCCTCAGGAGTATTTTATCTCTGATAGCTGAGACTCTGGGCCTGCTAGATGTTTGGTTATTTAACTAGCTGAGGCTGAGAAGGAACTTTAAGGTGCTGTTTTTTTTCTCAGCGCTGGAAATCCATTTCCTCCAGTCCAAAGCCAGACAGAGAATAAGTTGGTAAAAAATATGCTGAGAGAGGAGTTCATTTAAATTTAGGCTCCCTGCTTCATATGAGAACAAGCCTGTCTCATCAGAATTTATTACTTTTCAGTGCGCTGTTGGTTTGTGCTGAGAACAAAATCAGTTTGGTGTGAGTGTGTAAGAGATTTTTTTTTTTTCAGCAAGCGTTGCTG